TTCCCATAAAATTTGGATGAGGTTGTTGTTCTTTAGTAAAACATATGGAGGTTTGGTCATAAGAGAGAAATTTGGTATCCAATTTTGGCAATAACCTAAATTTCGAACCTTGGTTTGGACAAACAACAATTTATCTTTGGCAACCTTGTGTCCCTTTAAGGCTAAAAGCTTTAGCAAGTGGATGTTATCTTTCTGTGAGGAGACATGGGAGAGAGAGCACAGAAGAAAATCACCCAGGTATTGCAACAAAAAGAACCTCAAGGGAACTTTATATCATCCAGATCAGCCTTCAGGATTTGTGAGAAATAAGAAGGGCGCTCAGTAGAACCCTGAGGCATTACTCTCCAGGTGAATTATTTTTCTTCCCAAGTGAAGGAAAAAATGGTATTGGCTAGCTTCATCAACTGGAATGCTGAAGAATGCATGGCATAAAGCAGTTACCATAAAGAATTTGCTTCCAGTGGGAATGGATGTTAGTAGTGTACAGAGGTTAGGAACAACGGGGTTTTGAGGGATAACGATGTTGTTTATTGCTTGGAGGTCCTGGACAAACCTCCACCCTCAGGCCTTGGGTTTTCTCACAGTTAAAACAGGAGTATTACAGGGACTAATACGAGGGATAATGAGGCCCTGAGCCTTGTAATTCTCTATTATGGGCTTTATAACTTGAAGAGCTTCCTTACTTATAGGGTATTGATTAATTCTGGGGAGAGGTTTTGAGGGATCTATTTGAATCGTGATGGGAGGTGTGCTCTGAACTTTACCAATATCAGTTGGAGATTTTGCCCATAAGGAGGGTGGTAGCTGGTTCAACAAGAACAAATGATCAGTGTTTCCAGAATCAGCTCTGGTACATCAGAGATGGAGCAAATAAAAGATGTCAAAGAGTCATTTAATTTACTTGATTGGCTGTTTTGATGGCTACTGTCAAATTCTAGAATTATTTCCCCCTTTCGGAAGAACTAAATTCTGGCATAGTTTTCCAAGACGTCTCAGCTTAACAGATGGATTGGGCCAGAGGAACTAAGGAGAAAAGGGTGTGTGTCTCTGAAAGAGCCGAAACAAAAGGCAGTAGGTTCAGAGACAGGAACCCATTGAGGTTTACTAGAAATTCTCACTATTTGAACTGTGTTTGTACTCCAAGGCAGGGGCTGCTTTACAGTAGTGGGGTTGAGTATCGAGAGTGTGGCTCCCGTGTCAATTCGGACAAAAAGAAATTTATCTCCAACCTGGAGAAATGTTCCTCTGAGCCAGTTAAGAAGGAGGATTGGGAAGAGCCCCTGTGGCTCCTTGGAGCCCTGTCACTGAGAATTTGGAGGGCGCTGGAAAGGCTGGTTAGAGGGCTGAAGGCACTTGAAGCACTTAAATTTGTAACAATTTATTTTCCAATGTCCTGGTTCTTTGCAATAATAGCAGAAGCCAGGGGGGGGTTTTGATTTCGGTTAGGGGACTTCATTTACTGGAGTTGAAGATTAAGAGTTTTGGTGGTCTTTCTTTTAGGTGACTCAGCTAGGGTGCAAGAGAGTTGGTTTGCCAGGTTAACTAAATCTGGAGTGGACATAGATTCCCATTCCATCCTGGTCCTTTTTACTAGGAGGGAAAGGTCCCAGTTCAGCTCATTAATAACATAGAGTTAAAAGCTACCTGGGTGGAAACATCTGAAAGAAGACCAGAATATTTTTAAAAAAACAATCAAGTTGATTTGAATAGGCATAAACAGTTTTATCAGGTTTTTGTGCACAAGGCTGAATTTTGTTCCAATCAACAGGCTTTGGGAAAGCCCTAGGAATTGTCCAATGTAGTCATCTAGTGATTGCCTGAGCCTGATTATACATACAAGTCAGCAGGCTGGTCTCCTGGTTTTAATTCTAGACACCTTTCAGGATTTTCCCAATTAACAATTTTCATCCAATGCTGGGCCTGGCCTTCACCGACAAACACATGAACCGGCTGATGTAAGTCAGAGAACCCAGGTTGGTAAGTTTGAATGACTATATTAAATTCCTCAGCAAATCTGTGAGGATATTCGGTTACTATGGGAAAATCTTTGTGGCTCACAGTTCAGCTTTAGTCCAGGGAGTATAAGAGATTCGAAGTTCAGCCTTTGGATCCTCAGAAGGCTTATTTTTAGAGGGACAGGTTCTGATAGGTTCAGAGGACGAGGGAGTGGGGAGAGTTTCAGGGAAAAGGGGAAGTTTGGTGAGAGTTAGTACAGGGAAACTGAGGGTATAGAGGAGGTGTAGGCATTAGAGAAGGTGAGCAGGCAGAGCCAGAGCACGAGGAGCCAGGGCAGAGGAACAAGAGGCTTCGGGAGCCGTTTCATCTTTCTTTAATCATTTGTTTGCCTCAGTTAATCTTAACATTTTATTTTGCAAAGAGGCAATTTAGGCTCCTGGTAATGTTTGGAAGCCTCAAAATACCAATTAAATTAGGCATTCCATCTAGTTTTGCAAATTACAGAGCTTTGATTGTCCAATCTGGTTTTAAGTAAAGTATGTTTGGGAGTTCAAAAGTTCACCACAAGGGCCACTGCTATTCTAAATTACTTTTGGTTAAGTTGGTCCATTTAGTTAGAAATGCGCATGAGGAATGAGTGCATAAACATAAAATCATAATCAATTTTAAACATAAAATCAGCCAGGGTCCCTGTAGGGGGCGCACCCTCAACATATTTAGATAACTGGGATCCCACTTCTTAGAAATTTTTCTCTAGAGCCAAGGAATAATTCTCAAACAGCCTAAACAGCTTACACAGCTTGCAACTCAAACAGCTTGAACAGCTCAAACCACCTGCAAGCTTAATGCCAGCCAGTCCGAGTAGGAATAGTCTGATTTCAGTGAGGCGGACCAAAAGTTGAATCAACGCAGCTCCAGTGGAACAGTTCAGTTCCAAAAGGAGTCAGACCAAAGGTTGATCAACAAAGTTCCTATGAAACAGTCTGCTCCAAAGGGAGTCAGGCCGAAGGCTGGCTCAGCACAGTTTCAACTGGAACATCCAGCTTCCAAAGGAGTCAGGCTGCAGTGCCAGCCCAGTTCCAAGTAGGAGCAGTGTGGTTCCAAAGGAAGTGGACCGAAGGCTTAGCATAGTTCTGGTAGAAACAGCCTGATTTCAAAAGAATCAGGCCAAAGTGCCAACCGAGTATTCACAAACAAGGCCTTAAGCAGAACAAAGCCTTAAAAGAGATCTCAAATAAAGCCTGGAGAGCCTCAGATGCAAAGAGGGTGGAAGCTTGGATCCAGGAGAAGAGACTTACCCTCAAACTCCAGGGTTGGCGAGAAAAGCAGCAAGCTCAATGGGCTCTGTTGTGGGTACCACACCTGTTTGCTCACCAGCCTCGGAATCATCTGGGTCTTCTCTGGATCCCTGTACAGGCCACCAAAATGTTGACCTTAAACAAACAGACATCCAGTTATTTCTCCAGCAAAAATAGGTTTATTCAAGATCAGCAAAAAATTGCAATTTGGGGTCTGCAACCATGGCAAGCCACATGCAAGTCCCGAGCAGAAAGGGGAGGAGAAACTCTTTTGTGGAGGGCAAGATGAAGTTGGGAGGGCTATTGTAAAGAGTCCGTTGGAGGAATTGAGTGTGCTAAGTGTAGGGGCTTTTCATTGGCTGAGCTTCTCACCTGCCAAGACGAGGAAGTCTCTTCTTCCTGTGGTGCTCTGCTATCAAGGTAGGGTGTGAGAGCCACCCCACCTTTTGGCCTCCCAACTCCATTTTAATGAGGTTTCTGTTTATTAACTTCCACCATGTCTTGCATCAAATTGGGGAAGTTTTCAACCATTATTTCTTCAAATATTCTTTTTTCCTCTCTCTCTTCTCCTTCTGAGAGTACCATAATATGTATGTTGGTCCTCTTGATGGTGTTCCATAGATCCCTTACTCTGTTTACTTTCCCTCATCTTTTTTTTTGTTCCCCAGACTTGATAATTTCAACTGTCCTATTTTCAAGCTCACTGTTTCTTCTGCTTGCTCAATTCTGATTTTGAACCCCTAAAATGCATTTTTCATTTCACAGTTATACTTTTCAGCTTCAGAATTTTTTGGTGGGGGTTCTTTTTCATAATTTGTTTATTGATTGATATTTGTTCTGTTCATACATCTTTTTCCTGTTTTTGTGCATGTCTTCCTTTAGCTCTCTGAGCACTTTTAAGGCAGTAGTTTTAAAGTCTTTGTCTAGTAAGTCTGACATCTGGGCTTCCTCAAGTATATTTTCTGTTGATTCACTCTGTTCCTTTGAATGGGCCATGCCTTCCAATTTCTTTGTATATTCTTCTGATTTTTCTTGTTATCATTGAAAAGTAGACCTTTGAATCTTATAATGTGTTAAATCTGGAAATCAAATTATCCCCTTTCCTCAGGGGTGGCTGTTTTTTTATTGTTATAAAGTGTCTGTGTCAGAGATAAGCCTGAGTTGACTGTTTAAGGTGTTCTGAGGTCTTTTGCTTGATCATGCATAGTGGCTTTCTAGATTCTGTTGTATACATAATTGTGTTTGAATATCTAACAAAACAGATGTGGCTCCTTTAAATCTCCTGGAAGCTGCTTTAGTTGATGGAGGTTGAAAATATAGTGGCCAGCTTTCAGGTCTTCACCTCAGCGTTCAGAGCAGCAATCCACAATCAGAACACAGAACTCCAGTATTTGGAGGATAAGTCCCTTATTGCCTACCTTGGCTCCAGCAAACCACTTCAGAAATTCAGGTTGCTGTCCCCACAGCTGTCTGCCATGAGGCAGAGGTGGGCAGGCTTGGAAGCCACCACTGGGCTGACGGCTGAATTTGACCAAAATTAACTGCAATTTACCACCCAAGTTGTCCTCTGAAAGTTAGTTGCAAGTGTTCAAATAAACTCTAGAGTTCCAAAATATTCACTTTAGGCAGTGTCTGCCAGTACATCTGTAGAAGTGAAGAGACAAATTCCTGGTACTGCCCACTCTACCATCTTCTTTCTCTTTACTGTAAACTTTCTAACATATTGTATGTGAATTGATATTTCAGATTTACTCAGGGATGGCTTTGGGGACAGGCCCCTTTTCTACTGCCTGATTGCAGAAGTACCAACAAAACGAAGTCAACAAAGACCATTAGGTAAAATAAATCTTCCGCCTCCAATTTAATTTGGAGTATATTTTCTCTACCCTGAAAACAAAGTACAATTTGATAACATATAATTACTGTTAAGCAGAGGAGGAGATATTAAGTACATAAACTCAGTTTTGTTTTTCAAAAAGAAAATGTGTGATATGTACTTATGTTTTCTATATGCATAGAAAAAATCTGGAAGAATATACTCCACAGTGTTAAAAGATGGCTTATCTCTTAAAGGTTGTATTATAAAGGACTTAAACCTTCTACATTATGCATTTCTGTATTGAAATTTTGTCCAGTGAGTTTTTTTATGTTGGTAGTTAAAAAAATAACAAAGATATTCCATTTTGGAGGAAAGAACATTCTAAGACTCAAAGCATTAACCTCTTTATTCCTTCTCTTCCTTCTTCCTAGGAAAAGTAACCGTTGGGTTTGCCATGTACTACTTTACCTACGACCCCTGGATTGGCAAATTGCTTTACTTAGAGGACTTTTATGTCACAGAAGCTTACCGAGGTCAAGCTACATTTATAATATTACTTATAATTTAAAAATTAAAATGGTATATTTTAGTTTAAGGAGATAGCGCTTTCATATAAATATGCTGTTTAAGTCAGTTTATGTTACCTAATTTCTATTTCATGAGCCTAATCACTGTCCTAGTTATCTTTGCATATGGTGAAGACTCAATCATATTAGAAAAGGATTTTCTTATTATTTCCCATCAAGGCTTGGATAAGCCAAATTATCATAGCTCTATTTGTATTTTTAAAAAATGCTTTTATATTTTGGGTTGGTCTATCTAGAAAAGAATAAGAAATATACTCTGTGAAAGGATGTTAGTGACAGGGATTCGTTTCCTTTCCACTGATCTTTAAAATAAATCCAAAATCCTTTCCATTACCTTTGGAACCACATTTTAATTAGGAAAAAGAAGTATGACAAACATTCATGAGTTGGATTTCAACACAAGCTGTTAAGAATACATAACAACCAGATACAGGGTTTTATATTTTATTTCTTTCAAACTAAAGCAAATAACTTGTTAAGTGGAAATTTTCAACTTACAGTTTTTCATTCTGCATTATCTATTTAAAAGGTCTAGGTATTGGAGCTGAAATGTTGAAGAGGCTAAGTCAGGTATGTGTTACTATTACTATTGGTATTCTATACGTTATCTTTCTTTCATCAAATATTATTATTTAATGGCATAAATTAGATGAATTATCTCACCATCTGAATATAACCTCAAAATGTACTTAATTTATTCCAATTAAACAATTTTCAAATCAGATACTCATATAGGTTATATTTGAGCGTTATATTTAATTAAAAATTGATTTCTATATAATCCACAACCACACTATCCACCTATTTGCTATAAAGCAGAAGTAAGCAAGAGGAAGATCAGAAGGCAATTTTACCCATAAAATAGGTCCACAGTATGAATATGAGAATAGTATAAAAACCAGATCCTTCTGTATTTTGGAAATACATATGAGAATTTTAGGTAAACTTTTTCTATAGAACAAAGAAAAAACCAGTGAACTCAATTTATAGAAAAACCAATGAGTGGACTTTGCAAATCAGTTTTGGATTTTTAAAGAAAGGGTTTTAAAATTGAACAGTAGAACTTGTTTCTTTTTATAGCTTTAGAGAAGTCCAAAAGATAACTATTGTATTATTATTTGAAAGTATTATACACACAGTGCCCTGAATATAGTAGATCTTCAATAAAATAAACATGTTAATGAAGCCTATACTTTCAAGTAATAGTAATCTCTGTTTTTAAACAGATAGCCATCATAAGCCAATGTAACTGCATGCACTTCCTTGTCGTCATTTGGAACCAGGCGTCTACTGATTACTACACTCGTCGAGGGGCTTTAGACCTTTCCTCCGAGGAGGGCTGGCATCTGTTCAGATTTAACAGAAAAGAACTCATGGAAATGGCATGGGAAGAGTGAAAGAGGACTCATCATAACTTGTCCCAACAACAGAGGCTCCAACATTTGAATGTCACCTGAGCCCTACAGCAGTTTGACTTTAAGTGTTGTACAATACAGCAAGTGACCAAACTCTGGTTTGAGATCTCTTACTTTGAAACAGATTTTGCAGATACAGTCAACTCTCCATTATCCAAACTAATGTACTAATGTGTTGTAGCTGAGCTGATGATCCAAAAGAGTAGAGAATTCAAAAATCACTTATACTTAGCTTTAGGATATTTATTTTTTTACCTACCATCTCTCACTAAATTTAAGATGATTATATTTTCACATCTTAACATGTCTGAAATTGGGATAAGTATAATGATCAACTGGCAGTACTTTTTTCTTAGAGGTAAATAACGTGTCTTAGATTTGATGAAAAATGAGTGTGTTTGGTTATAAACAGAGCTGAGGTACCAAAAATTTACTTAAAATACTGAAGCCAAATTTTGAAGAGCTTACTTATGAAAAACTAGTAAGTGAACTGCTTCCCCACCTTGAGCAGCTCAAGTACCACTGCCTCCTTAACATCATCCCAGAGCTACATTCCATCTCTGAGCATCCATGGCTCTTTGGCTGTACTTGTCTTAGGGCAGATACTACACACACCACTGTATCTGTATATGTTTCTATCCTTTCTAGTAGAATATAAGCCCTTTGATAGAATTACCTTTGCATCCTGTGTTATAACCAGCATGGTAGAACATGTAAGTTTCCAATATGTACCAGGTATTTTATGGGCACAAAAGCTACAGAAAGATGATTCAGTCATACTCACAAGGAACCCTGTCTGTGAAAAAATACTAAACTAGTTTTAGTTTTATGGTAAATTGTATGGGCCATCACAGCTATAAATACCAAATGTGAGGGAATGTAGAGGAGAGCGCATCTAAATCCCACCTTGGAGAACTGAGAAAGGTGACACTGGAATTGGGTTTAAAGGATGAACAAGAAGTTGGAATATAGAGCAGGATGACATAGAAAAAAAATTCTAAGGTGAGACACAAGCATAGGCAGAGAAAAAGGAACATAAAAGAACAAAGCATGTCCAAAAAGCAAGTTGTAGGTTATAGATAAAATATGACATACATTGGCAGTAGGGTGGGTGGGGAGAGAAGACAGGATTAAAGTTGAGCTGGGATCATATATGAAGGGCCTTATATGTCATACAGGAAGTCTTGATGTGATTCTGTAGGCAATGATGAACCACTGAAGTTTCCAGAAAGACAACCAACCACAATGGTTGTTAGTAAGACAACTATTTCATCATAATATGACAGATGGGTTAGAAGAAGAGGGTAGCAGGCACTGGATGTTAGCTCAAACTCACACCCATTCCAAATCCCTTACCCCTTGCCTTCCTCACCATAGAACCAAATATGTTTTGCCAATCTTCCTTGCACTAAATGTGGCTACATGACAAGTTGTGGTCCAGATATAGACAGAAGTCTTTTGAGAGGGGTTCTAGGAGTGCATTTACTTTTCTGATAAAAGGGAGTCAGAAGCATCTGGTACATAGTTTGTCCTAACCCTTCTTCCTGCTTTGAATGTGTATGTGTCCCCCACAGGTACAACAGCCATTTTCTGCCTATGAGGTGATAAATTAACACAGTAAAGAGCAGAGTGGAAAAAGTCTAGGCCCTTGATGGCACCAATGAGCCACTGTACCAACCCTGTAATACTTAATTCCAGATTTTAAATAGACTCTTATTTATTTAAGCTACTGTTAACTGGTTTACTGTTACTTGCAAGCAGAACACATTCTGAAGTGACAGAAAACAAGACTGATGGCAGGCAGATCAACCAGAAGGCTAGTGTAATAATCCAGGAAAGTGATAATAAAGAGGTGAATGAGAACAAGGATTAGAAAAGGTAGAAAGGATTTGAGAAACATAGAAATAAGAAGAGAGAGGTAGAGGGGCTGGCCCCGTGGCGAGTGGTTAAGTTCGCGCACTCCGCTGCAGGCAGCCCAGTGTTTCGTAGGTTCAAATCCTGGGCACGGACATGGCACTGCTCATCAAGCCACGCTGAGGCAGCGTCCCACATGCCACAACTAGAAGGACCCACAACGAAGAATATACAACTATGTACCGGGGGGCTTTGGGGAGAAAAAGGAAAAAATAAAGTCTTTAAAAAAAAAAAGAGAGAGATAGAGACAATTTAGTTTTAGGCATAATGACATTGGGGATATCTATGGGATGTAAGGTAGATATGACTAATAAATAATTAGAAAGAAAGGTCCATAGCTCTGGAGAAATACAGGAGCTGAAATAGAAATAATAAGGACATATAAATGGCGGCTGAAGTCAGTGAAGTACGTTGAATGAAAATGAGAGAGCACACAGAATGAGAAAAGAAGGCTAGGAATGCAGCCCGGGGAGCCTCAGCATTTAAGGCATTCAGAGCAAGAGAAGAATGAAGAAAAACAAGAGAAGCAGGAGTAACAGAGAGCAAAGGGAGGAGTGAGTTTCAAGGAGGGAGTGGTCGAGAGTCAATAATTGCAGAAAATTCAAGCAGATATAGAGACCAGGGTGTCCCAAATTAGAGAGGAATTGAAAGCGAGGAAGTAAGAAAGTGACATTAATTACTTCTTTAAGAAGTATGGCAATTATGGGAAGGACAAAGAAAAGATAGCTCTAGAGGAAGAGGCAGGGTTAGGGAAAGGGTTTTGTTACTGTTGTTTTTGGATAAAGAAGATCTGAAGCTATTTAGATGTGAGGAAAATTAAATGAGTGAAAAGAGAAACCAAAGACTGAAGATTAAACAGGATAGACCATGGTACTGGGAAGGATGCGGAGGAATGAGATGAGGAACACAAATAGAAGCACTGACCTTAGAAAAGGGGGCTGCATGGCTGAAAAGACATAAGACTTTTGAAGGTAAATGGGAAGAAGTTGGGAATGGTCATGTCTAAATAACATTCTTGTTTCTCTGAGTAATAGGAGACATGGTCATCTTTGGCAGGAATAAGAGGCTTGGAAATAAAAGGTCTGTAATACCTCTCCTGGGGAACAGAATAGGAAACCACCTAGGAACCAGCAGGACTGCTAAACAGCATTGGGGGTCCCACGTAGCATATGGTCCTCTTGAATAGAGGTGTTTGGGGACACTTAAGAGGAGTTAACACTAATAAAACAAAGAGACAAAGCCAAGCCCAAGTGCCTTAAAGTATGGATATTTTATTCCAGCTCTGGGAAATGAAAAAAAAATGGGAAGAAGGGAACACATCCTTCCACACACCATTCTAATTTAGCTGACATTAATTCAGAAAAGCTAAAGCAAATATGTATGTGTATACGTATAAATATTTATATGTAGACATAGTTTTTCAGATTTTAGTCTCATCAGTGTTCATATATTTACTGTTTTTGTTTTTTCATAAACATCCTTAAAAGTCACCAAATGCATCCTAATACTTCTACCTCTGCCTCTTCATCAATCATTTAATATTGTTTGGATTTTGTTCATAGTTGGTGTTTTAATCACCTATGTGATTGGTCAAACGGTACGTTAGAAGATGTGAGGGAAAACATGGTTGAACTTATACTCTGTGCGTCGCAGTTACCCATCACGATTGTTTTCATCATTATTTGCAGCTTCACACATCTGGTAGTTCTCTACGCAGACATTTCAGCTTCTAGTGCTGTACATATCTGCATCTTCTGGATGGGACTGCCCGTGATCCATGAGCTTGGGGTCAGGCAGAAACTGTGTAGCACCTGATAAAGTATTAAAACGAAAAAAAATTAGTCATTCATTTAACAAATTTATTGTTGGCACTGGGAATACAGTAGTGAACAAAACAAAAATCTCTGCCAACATGGACCTAACATTTAAGTTGGGTGAGACAGACAGTAAGTTAAGTAAAAGATATGAGATGGTGGTAAGTGCTATGCAGAAAAATCAACCAGGGAGGGGCATATGGAGTGCTTGGGTAATTTGCAATTTTAAATACAGTGGACAGGGAAAGCCTTCCAGAAAGGTGATACCGAGCAAGAACTGAAAGAGGAGAGGGTGTGAGCTGGTAGATATCTGAAGAGCAGGCAGCAAGTATAACAGGCCTGAGGCATGTCTGAGGAAACACAAAATGGCCAATATGGCTGGAACAGAGTCGGCCAGATGTGGTGATCGTGGGTACAGTGAGAGTGACAGGAGACATCATCAGAAAACAGGTGAAGGCTAGGCCACACAGAACCATGGTAAGGTTTTTCTTTTTTATTTTAAGTGAGATGAGAAGCTACTGGACAGTTTTAAGCAGAGGAGTAACATGATGTTATGTTTTCTAAAAGATCACTTTTAGCTATGGGAAGAAGAGACTACAAGGGAACAAGGCCGGAAGCAGGGAAAGCAGTGAGAAAGCTGCTGCAGCACTCCCAGAGCCACACGCTGATGGCTTTAACTAGGGCAGCAGCAGTACAGGCAGGGAAAAGGGAATGGATTCAGAATAACTTCTGAAGGTAGAATGGACAGGATTTCCTAAATGGATGGAAGATGTTGTGTGAGAGAGACTCTTTAACTTGAGAAACTGGAAGAATGGAGTTTACATTTACCGAGATAAAGAAAAATGTGGGAGAAGCATGTTCAGGGGAAGGCAAAGGAAGCGTTAAGTTTTGGATGTGTTAAATTTGAATTACTAACTAGACATCTGAGTACAAATGTTTCAGTAGGCAGCTAGAAGTCTGAGTCAGTAGGGTTGAGGAGAGGCCTGGGCTGGTTTATAAATTTTACAGGCCTATCCTATACATGGCACTTAAAACTATGGGACTATATGAGATCATATAGAGCGCCAGAGAAGAGGCCAAGGAATGAGCCCTTTGGATACTCCAACTTTTTGAAATTAAGAAGATTAGAAGAATGTAGCAGAGAAGACTGAGAAGGAACAGCCAGTCAGTGAGGTAAGAGAACCAAGAGCAAGTAGTATCCTATAGGCCAAGTGAAGAGATTGTTTCAAGGAGGAGGGAGTAATCACTTGTGGTAAAAGTTACAGATGGATTGCATAAGATGGAGACTGAGAATGGACTCCTGGATTCGGCAATGTGTGGACCAGTGGTGATCCTGATATGCTGACTGTGTGCCAGGCGAGGTGCTACATTATTTTCATGCACTGTCTCACAATACCACCATGAGACAGATGATATTTTTCTATTATCCTTGTTTTACAGATAAGGAAATTTTCATTTAGAGAGGTTATGAAAGTTGACCAACGTCACTCAGTTGATAAGTGATGGAGCCAGGATTGAATCCAAGTTTGTCTGACCTCCAAGAGAACAACCCTGGCTCTCCTGTAAAATGGGGGTTAGAGTAGTAACAACATCATACAATTATTTTTAGTATTCAATATAATAATGTGCACAAAGTGCTGCATATAATACCCTGTGCACGGCAAGTAGGAAAGGAACAACTATATATTTACTTCATGACATAAGACTAAAACTATTTTTTCAGAAATTTGTTTTTATTTTAAATATGTTTTTCAAA